CAGCCTGAAGGTCAAACTTGCAGCAGCTGTACAGCTGAAGGACAAACTTGCAGCTGCTATATAGCTCAAGGACAAACTTGCAGCAGCTATACAGCTCAAGACGAACTTACAGCAGCTGGCTTTACAGCTGAAGGACAAACTGGTCGCACCAGCTATACAGCTGAAGGACAAACTTGCAGCAGCTGTACAGCTGAAGGACAAACTTGCAGCAGCTATACAGCTGAAGGACAAACTTGCAGCTGTTGTACAGCTGAAGGACAAACTTGCAGCAGCTGTACAGCTGAAGGACAAACTTGCAGCAGCTATACAGCTGAAGGACAAACTTGCAGCAGCTATACAGCTGAAGGACAAACTTGCAGCAGCTGTACAGCTGAAGGACAAACTTGCAGCTGCTGTACAGCTGAAGGACAAACATGCAGCAGCTGTACAGCTGAAGGACAAACTTGCAGCAGCTATACAGCTGAAGGACAAACTTGCAGCTGCTGTACAGCTGAAGGCTGAAGGACAAACTTTGCAGCTGCTGTACAGCTGAAGGACAAACATGCAGCAGCTGTACAGCTGAAGGACAAACATGCAGCTGCTGTACAGCTGAAGGACAAACATGCAGCAGCTGTACAGCTGAAGGACAAACTTGCAGCAGCTGTACGGCTGAAGGACAAACTTGCAGCAGCTGTACAGCTGAAGGACAAACCATGCAGCTGCTGTACAGCTGAAGGACAAACTTGCAGCAGCTATACAGCTGAAGGACAAACTTGCAGCAGCTATACAGCTGAAGGACAAACTTGCAGCAGCTATACAGCTGAAGGACAAACTTGCAGCAGCTGTACAGCTGAAGGACAAACTTGCAGCTGCTGTACAGCTGAAGGACAAACATGCAGCAGCTGTACAGCTGAAGGACAAACTTGCAGCAGCTATACAGCTGAAGGACAAACTTTGCAGCAGCTGTACAGCTTCATACTGATTCAGCCTGAAGGTCAAACTTGCAGCAGCTGTACAGCTGAAGGACAAACTTGCAGCTGCTGTACAGCTGTAGATAACAAGGACAGAGATGGCAGTTGATGTGTTCCTCTGGTAGAGTATATAGTATGTTCTTGTTCCTAATTTGTACTTGCACTTTAAGAAGAAATCCTTACTTAAATACAACTCACAATGTAAATATCAATCATCATCACACAGAAACTTTACAAAGTACCAATCTCTCATTCCCACTGCTGTAAACAGCATGTGTGTAAACAATATCTTCCGGTAACATTGGATGTCTAAGGGCAATATTATTTGCTTCCAAAGGGAGAGAACTCTATAGAAGGGACTTCCACAAACTCACCCAGATGGCGTCAAACTGCATATTAACAAATACCCAGAAGGTTTCTATTATTTATACTTTCTTTATTTAGTGTTGTCATAAACAGAATTCATTCGAAAATAGCTTTGTATATTCAAGAATGTGAATGTGAATCCCCCCCAAGTTAGGGGATTTACAGAAGTTGCACCAAGATGGCACAGTGGGACAGGGTCCTGCCTCGATTTCAGTTACATCACAGGGATGTTGATCAGTTTACTGATGGCTACAGAATCATACCTCATCTTGTACATTACAATCCAAGAATCCCTGTCCAGGTGTACGATGACCACAGAGGGAGGATAAGAAGTGGGGATTATGGTATCAATAGAATAGAATATTTTCCTAACGACTCAACTACCAAGCTGGAGTGCTAGCAGGATATGAGGACAGAAGTCAAGCACTACCCGACCCAGGGGGGCCACAGAGAGCAGAAGAAACCATTTGGGTCGTAGTCATAAATAATCACATGGGGTGATAACTCAATAGACATGGAATTAGAAGAGCTCCAGAAAGGGGGACAACTCCATTCAACGTGGCATTAGAAGAGTCCCCACCAGGACACATTTTGCATGGCAATCAAAGTCCCTCAAAGGGAGATAACTATGTATGTTCTATGACAGACTTGGATATGTGAGATAGCAGTAGCTACAAAAACAAAGCAACTTGATTCATAGAAAAAATATATATATCCTCTGCTGTGTACGTCTGCAGTCCGTGTAATGCTACAGTGTTTTAAAACAATGACACTTATTCACTCCTGACATGAACATGCATGAAATGTACACACATCCATTGGCACCTACTGTGTGCAATATGGAATATGAAATTAGAAAATAACTGAATATTACTTGACAAATTTGGTACACCTTGTTGAATACGCACTTTATACCATGGTTATTATTGTGTGCATACACAAAGTCTGTCATCAGCGCTTGCTTTGCCAGACGTACCTGGCATTAGTAGTAGCTGTACAACCAGTTAATGTCAGCGCTCCATGTATATACAATATCTCGCACTACAGCTAACATTATTCTGTACTATCACACATCCTTTAAAACAGAAAGGGGTGAGAGAACATCACAACTCCTCTGCACACTGATGTCAGCTGGCAACCTGTGTGGAGCTGGCACGTAGTCCCGTGTCTCTTAGTGATTCCATGATCAAAGAATCACAAACAACCATGACAGGTTGGGCACAAGCACATTCCTCAGTAGATCCACAGAATATATCACGAAGAAGCTTATGCAAGTAATTCCTTATAATCCTTCCATGTGTCAAGTCAGTGATTATTACACCCAGGTTGTTTATGCAGATGTGTCATCAGACGTCCACACAACACTGCGGTATGTACACAGTAACTGCCTGCCCCTGTTTTCACTTTTCAAGCTTTTATCTGCAGACATAAGAGCTCAGCTATATGTTGCTTCCCTTGGGCAAGAGTTGCTTCCCTGTACAAGGGTTATCTCCCTTGGTTCAGTACACACGACTTAACAGATGGCAAGTCCAAGTGATAACAACGGGGCCACATGATCACACCCAGGAGTCAGCGCCACCTTGTGGTCCTCCCCCGGCATCTAGCATGACTTTACTGGAGTGGACGTAATCATCGTTACGTCGCTGACTCTTCTTGTTCACCTTTGCATACAATGGCTCCCCTGACTGGTCTGCCGGCTCCTGAGAATACAGATAGAAGATGATACATTTGTTACTATTTTGTTTTGTCATCACCTTTCACAGAAAACATCAAGTTTTGGTTTGCCAGCAACAAGAGAGAGTGGCCGTAGATTTACTTATCTATGTATATATTAAAACACACATCAGTGAGTGAGTGACTGACTGACAAGAAGATACAGTTAGCGATATCTGAACCTGGATCCATGTAGTCAGTGACCTTGAAGACCTGATTATCTACCTCAACAATCTACTCTGTGAACCCAGTCTGACCAGTGTCATCACACCTTGTCACCAATTGGATCCCACAAGATCAGCTCCTCCGATCAGTCTCCACTTCTGGGAAAATGGTGGGGCTTGGATTACCATAATCCTACCACTTCTAAAACATCTAAATCTCTTCTATAACAGACAGTCTAGGAAGAATTTGAGTTGGTTTTTCTCTTAGCTAGAACTAACAATGACTAGACCCTTGGGTAAAGCTAACCTGTTGCATGTTTGGGAAGAGGGGGACCCCTCCGACCGGTGGCTTGTTTCTGTGGTGGGGTGGCTGTGGCTGAGGCTCCTCCAGGGGGGCATAGCCGGGGCCCAGGTCGGTCATGGGTATGTCATCGGGCTGAAATGTGAGTAGGGACTAGGTGAACAACTACAGAAGGTCAACGTTAAACAAAAATGGAAGGTCAAAGTTACTCTTTAATGAGGAAGGTCAAGCAAACAGGATTAAAGAAAATACAGAAAGCTCATTTTTCATACATATACTTTCAAAGAAGAGTGATGGGAGGTGACAAATTTCGCAGATGTAAAAACGTTGACACATAGTTCTCACTCTACTATTCACTCTGTCAGTTCACGCTGGTATTCAAAACTAGAACTGATTTAGCGCATGCCAGTCACAGACTGCATGTAATTCAAGAAGTCAAAAGAGTGTACAGCAGTCAGACCGACGAAAATATAAACTATACTTACTCTACTGTTGTCATGGGAATAGTTGTGTCGATCTGAAACACAAGTAAAGTGTTTTTCACACACCAGTTACACACCAGCAAACACTAATGTGGTCATCCTCATGTTTACATGATTATTGAGTTAGTGAGTGAGTTTAGTTTTATGCCACTTTTAGCAATATTCCAGCAATATCACGGCAGGGGGCACCAAAAATGGGATTCACACATTGTACCCATGTGGGGAATCAAATCCGAATCTTCAGAGTGACGAGCAAACGCTTTAACCACTAAGCTACCCCACTGCCCCACATGACATATATTTACATTGGTTATACTAATATTAGCACGATTGTTGAGATGTCAGTGGCTCTGGTCACACTAATATTATCATGATCATTGAGTTTGGAGTGACTTGTTTGAGTGGCATTTAGAAGTTGGTGTGATGAACAACGAGGAGAGTTCTATGGATATACAACTTCTTTAATATAATATGAGCAATATTTCAGTGTAGCTTCTAACACCGTTATCAAGCAAACGATGTCATCATTTAGATGTGTGTGACTGGTTATACCAATATTACCATGATCATTGAGATGCGAGTGGCTCTGGTTCATTGAGAAGTAGCCATCAGCTTCATTGTGACTGTGATCGTAGTTGTTGTTGGGACGCTTCTGCAGCGGTCGTCCAGGAGACAGTGTGTTGTCATCGTAACCCTGAGCACTGATTGGTCGGTTTAGCGTGTTGTATGGAGTCGTGTGGTTACTGGCAACAGGACTTATACTGCTGCTTAAATTGCTGTACTTCGAGCCCTCCGCTCTGAAACATCAAATAAAACAAGAAGGTAAACTAAAATGTGGGATTAACAACCCTAGTGACTGAGGTCTTTGGTGTTTATGACTGTTACTGGTAACCATTGATCACAGGTTACTGGCAGACCAAAGGGAGGCAACTCTGTACAGCAAACTACAGTGGCTTATATGAGTAGACTCCCTTCCCCAGTGTACTTTTGACATTCCATGGTTTAACATTTTTAACAATCACTTATCACAAGGACATTCACAAAAATCATCAAAAACCATTATATAATGACGCTGGCATGTGAACTGCCATGTTTTCTGTCATGTTGTCATGCCACTCTGCTGTCATGCTATCATGCTGTGTGCCACTGTGTCATGTTGTACCTGCAGGCAGCTGTGAACATGAGGAAGTCCTTCTCTGTGAGCCCCATCCGGGAGTACTCGGATGCAGGGCCCGGAACGCCCACATCGTCCGCATCACCTGCATCACAAGGAGATCAAACCTGTAGCTCATCAACGATTAGCCTTAATCAAGGTAAATATATTCATTAATCTGACTCTTATATCATAAACATGCTTCAACTTGGATTCCAACATAGTATAACAGGACTTTGCCACACTACAGAAACAGAACTCAGGGATAAGATGAAGATCTGCAGGGTGCTGTTCCACAGAGCTGATGGATTAACAATCCTGAGCAGATTCAACAGTGTGTGAACTACGACAGTTACGATCTCTATCTGCACACTCCAAACACCTGGGGTAAACCTCTGTCCTTACAGTGGTACAGTTCCTTACCGTGTGTGCGTATTTGACCGTGCGGGCAAGGTACTGGTTTTCTGACTTGGTGATATTCAGGAGGCGTGGAATGCCGTTCTCAGTCATCAGAGACCTGGAAACAACAAGAAGACATTAGCAGACTGGTAATTATGAAATACCAAGTATGAAACAACCTTGCCCTTCACATGAGAGGTATATATTATTCTCTTTCGTCATGCATATGCAACATACTCGTTGCAGCAAGTCTGTGTACAATATGTACACTCATCGGGAATCACTCTTGCAGTAGAACAGGAAGGGACCTCATCTTTGACCTTACTTTGGTGAGTGAGTTGGGTTTTATCCCGCTTTAAGCAATATTCAAGCAATATTATGGCAGGGGACACCAGAAATGGGCTTCACACATTGAACCCATGTGTGGAATTGAACCCAGGACAAGTGAACGCTTTAACCACTAGACTACCCCGCCGCTCCTGGCCTTACTTTGACCCGATACCGACAACAGTTGCCAAGCAAGGCAAACAATGGTGTAATCCAGGAAGCAGATTGTCATTCTTCTACACATAAGGATGTTGTATTTTCAATATAAATATGGCAATGTAATCATAGTGTCTTCCTGAGCTGGTTGTAGGCATGTGGCAGTGATCAGTTTATACGGTGAAGAACCTGATCATACAAGTACAACTTACTGTGCAAAATCTTGATTATTCTTAATGACCTCATACAGCGTTGCTATGACAGCACATAATGTGTCGTCCGGGGGCACCGGACCTGGCATCGTCCGATGTGCCGGAAGTTTCCTCACCAGTTGTTGCATGGCATATTTACCTGGGGACAAAACATGGCATATTTACCTGGGGACAAAACATGAAATATTTACCTGGGAACAAATCATGGCATATTTACCTGGGGACAAAACATGGCATATTTACCTGGGGACAAAACATGGCATATTTACCTGGGGACAAAACATGGCATTTACATGGCATATTTACCTGGGGACAAAACATGAAATATTTACCTGGGGACAAATCATGGCATATTTACCTGGGGACAAAACATGGCATATTTACCTGTGGACAAATCATTGCATATTTACCTGGGGACAAAACATGAAATATTTACCTGGGGCGAAAATATGTCACATGAACCTGAGTACCAAAATGGTATCACATTTTTCATTGCGTTATACATTTCACTGATTTTATTGCCAACTAGGTCTTTTCAATTTTTCAGTGCCTTACCAACTAGTTCCTTGTTGCGTTCATCAATGGCCAGATTCCGCAGGGCCGTGGCAGCTGCACATACCACTCGGTCATTCTCAAATGTCAACAAGTCAACAAGGTTAGGAAGACCCTTCTCCTTCCGTACGAGGGCTCGGATGTCAATAGCTGGCTGAAAGAACAAACAATGTGTCAGTGGACTGTTTTTTACCAATATTCCATCAATTCCTCCAATATCAGAGTGAATATGGCAACTAACCTGCCACTTGCATGCAGTCAGATTCTGTATGGTGACTCACCTGCCACTCAGATTCTGTATGGTGACTCACCTACCACTCGCATGCAGTCAGATTCTGTATGGTGACTCACCTGCCACTCGCATGCAGTCAGATTCTGTATGGTGACTCACCTGCCACAGATTCTGTATGGTGACTCATGCCAGTCAGATTCTGTATGGTGACTCACCTGCCACTCGCATGCAGTCAGATTCTGTATGGTGACTCACCTGCCACTCTCATGCAGTCAGATTCTGTATGGTGACTCACCTGCCACTCGCATGCAGTCAGATTCTGTATGGGGACTCACCTGCCACTCGCATGCAGTCAGATTCTGTATGGCGCCTGCAGCAGCCTCCAGTGTGACAGGGTTGGATGCACTCTTGAGCAGCAGCGAGTAGAGGTGGACGACGTCGGCGCTCGACGTCGGCGCCCCACAACCCCTTGTACTCCGTGGCAGCTTGAGGGAATGTGGGCTGGGTCCTGTACATGACAGAACCATATCCAACAGACTCACAATACCACCATATGAGGAGACAGACTCACATCCATACCACCATATCCAAGACGGGGGACAGACTCACATCCATACCACCATATCCAAGACGGGGGACAGACTCACATCTATACCACCATATCCAAGACGGGGGACAGACTCACATCCATACCACCATATCCAAGACGGGGGACAGACTCACATCCATACCACCATATCCAAGACGTTTCAAAAACAGGGGAGATGATAAATAAGAAGTGAGGTTTAACATGACCATCATACTTCCACAGATTTACACCAACCATACTGATAGCTGACATCAGTAAATCCACCCAGGTAAATTGTGCTTCTCCCTGATGTTCATAAACCCATGCACACAAAACAACAAGAAATACATTTTACAATTGAAATGATGAAATGGACAAAAACACCAGAAAATGTTACTGCGGATGTGTGGAGTTACTTACTTTTGATTCGGACTGTTGGGTTCATTTCCTCCCTTCTTTTGTACACCTTTCTTGTTCTTGCCTCCACCACCAAAACATCCCGTACTGTCACCTGCTTAACAAGGTCAAGGTCAATGAGAGACTCAACGAAGGAGTTAGGTTCACCTGAATGATTGTGTGCTTGCTGCTAACACTTCCCTCAGCTATATTCCAGCTATATGACAGTGTATGTATTTAGAATCTGGACCACAAAATCCAGTGATTGATATTAATACCAGCGATCCATTAGGCTATCTACTTCCATCCAGGACATGTTCCTGAACACCAGCTCTAACCAAGAACACGCATCCGGTTAATGAGAGGTTAACTCAGTTAGTATCTACCTTTCTCTGGTGGACCTCGGTTCCGTGGTAACGTCCTCTTCTTGTAGAAGTCGGGATCTTCAATTTCTTGGATTCTGTATGAAAGATTCCTGAGAATACAGACAACATTCTCCACGGGCTTATTGTCCATATCCCCTTCCGTTGCGATCTTCAGGGTGTGGATCAGCGCCTTCACAAGGCCACGACACTCTCTGATCTTCTTCCTCGCATCGAATCCGGCTGAGCTCACATTCCTGGTGAAAGACAATAAGTCACGATTGGACAAAATCTCACAAGTCATCACTACCAATTGCACCCCTAAAAAATATTCCCCTCAACTTATCAAAAAAACTATTTAAAGTAGGAATATTGTTCAACTCGGAAAACAGCAATATTTCATCTATCTCACAAACTTCTTGAAAACTATTTACAAAATCAAGGCATACGATTAAACAAGTCACAGAGTCTGGCCAACCCATCTGATTTAGCCTTCCTACACAGATGGTCAGTGAGCATAGATTTACTTCACTTTCAACATGACAATCCAGCACTTCAATGCTAGGCTGCCCCATCCAGTGAGGACCCATCTATATGTTTCTTACCGAAGTACCCCAGAGTCCAGTGAGGACCCATCTATATGTTTCTTACCGAAACACTGCAGTGGCGTTCCTGAACGTTGTGGTCCACGGCTCGTGGTCCCGGTACGGCGTTGCCCCCATCCGGTCCATCCCCGAGTGTGGGATTATCACAACATTCACAAGTACCGCCAAACCATCATCTATAATTGGCTTCTTCAGATCCTGGAACAGATGGCAGCAGAATGAGGTCAGGAGGTGACATGGGGTTTAACATCACATGCTTCTGTTTGCCAGGGACATCATTACATGTACAAGCCACATGCATGAGTGGGGCTGCTTCTGTTTGCCAGGGACTAATGCTGGTTTAGCCCACTGAGATACAACGCTGCAGTGTAACAGCCTACCCCAGACAGAAACAGGATACTGTATACGCTGTAAACTCACGTGGATTATTTATAAATGATAGTAGATCATTCAACTGAAACTTTTCTCATCATGAACATTATATAAAAAACTCATTTGGACTTTGTACTTAAAATTTGTATGTATGCAAACTTGATCTCATCACTATATGGCTGGAATAATGCTGACATGAAGCCCAACTCAACTCATCAAGAACATTCACATCTTGACATGGCAGCCTTACCTCACATGATGAGAGATTCCACAACACACCCGTAACAGATTCCCGCACATCATCTTCGTGAGACTTCCGCAGGAGTCGAATTAGTTCTGGGATGCCGCCTTCATTCCGAATTGCTTTCTGTGGGACAAAACACGAGCATTATAGGAAGGACTGATGGTTAAATACATTTTGTAAAATTGAGTTTACATTAGATATAGCATGAGATTTAGAATGAGTAAAAAATGTTCATCCCCCTCTGGACACCCTGCTCCAGAATGTGAACACCTGGCTTCAGTATGTGGACACCCTGCTCCATTATGTGAGCACCTGGCTCCAGAATCTGGACACCCTGCTCCATTATGTGAACACCTGGCTTCAGTATGTGAACACCCTGCCTAGAATCCTGCTCTATTATGTGAAGACCTTGCTCCATTATGTGGACACCCTGCTCTAGAATCTGGACACCTTGCTCTATTATGTGGACACCTGGCTCCCGTATGTGGACACCTGGCTCCAGAATGAGGAAACCTGGCTCCACAATCTGGACACCCTGCTCTATTATGCAAACACCTGGATCCAGTAAGTGGGCACTGTCCAGTAGTACATGAACATCCAGCTCTACTAAATGGACACCTTGGTCCAGCACATGGACACCCTGCTCTATTATGTAAACACCTGGATCCAGTAAGTGGGCACTGTCCAGTAGTACATGAACATCCAGCTCTACTAAATGGACACCTTGGTCCAGCACATGGACACCCTGCTCTATTATGTAAACACCTGGATCCAGTAAGTGGGCACTGTCCAGTAGTACATGAACATCCAGCTCTACTAAATGGACACCTTGGTCCAGCACATGGACACCCTGCTCTATTACCTGATCCAGTGAACACCTGATCCAGTAAGTGGGCACTGTCCAGTAGTACATGGACATCCAGCTCTACTATACGGACACCTGGGTCCAGCACATGGACACCTGACTCTATCATGGGGACACCCACCTTGTTCTCATCGTTGGTCCGGCCATAGGACAGGTTCTGCAGCGCTCCACACGCTGCCTTGTGGACCTCGGGGTACTCATTACTCAGCAGCTGGATCAGGGGACGGATTCCATCAAGGCCTCTGTCAACAACATCATCAGTTTCCTCGTTAACATCACAGTAAACTTCACAGTAAACATCACTGAAAAGATCTGCACAATTAGCTGTTTAGGTAAGTTGAAGCCCTGGCTATGCTTGAATGGTAAATAATATTATTTGTTTTCTGTTTCACACTTCTTTCAGGTATATTTGTGAATTGTAAATAATGAAGCCTGGTCCAGACCATCCAGTGATCACCATTATGCACACTGATCCATGCAGGTGGAATACACTCACAGACAATAAATATCACTGGTCTTGATAAGCAGCCAGGTTGTGGGCACCTGTGAACTTGAATCCTCACATACTGAACAGCAGGTGAGTAATGTCTAACAGACAGGAAGTATGTAAGCATTACAGAGATGAAAACACACAAGTAAGTTGCTGACAATCCCACAAACACATTTCAAACTAAGTTCAGCAGATCCTGATATGCTTAAGGGCTGTAATTCTTTGAACAAACACCCGGCTCTAGATGCCAGATGGAGATTATACTCACCTTGTTTTTGCTTTGATTCCATCATCCATGAAGGTGAGATGCTGGAGATATGCAGCTGCATGGACTTTGATATCGTTGTCACGGTGACCCAAGTAGTCGATCACTTCCTGAAGGTCAGGGTTGCGCCACCGGAATGCTGGGAAATGTCAGTGAAAATTGAAAGTACAATATGAACTTTACTACAAGAGGGGTTAAGGTGTCTAAGGTTTTTGATGCACTAAACTTCAGATTATGACCCTCTACGGTATACTTGTGATAATTTTTGTTGTACATTTTCTTAAAGACCCTTCCTGAAATAACAACATGCAAAAGCATTTTCTATTTTTTCACAAAATGTCCAATTTCTTTATAACCATCGAAATACTGTCACAATTTTGGTGACGACTCCATCTGCCTCGGAACCAAAGTGATGAGTAACCTGCTGCTTTTGTCAGTCAGAGGCTCAGATCATGAAACACTATTAACTGAACAGAAATAACAAAACATACAACATTAAAACACACCATGCCACAACCACAGCAAAAGTCTCATGCATTAAAATCCCTACTTGAAATAAAAATAACTAAAGTACTGTCGGAAATAGAAAAAAACTGTTTTTAGGCTGTTAGTCTGTATCACTCAAATTTACACAATTGCAAATAGCATAAGTCGAAATAACTCACATCGGCCTAACTGGGCGTTCAGAGGGATGCGTAATAGGATATCCAGAAAAGCATGTTTACTCGTAAAATCGGGCAAAACGAATAGCTGCTGAAAACAATAGATTAGACTATAGATGGCCATTAGGTCGCTCAGCCGGGTATGACGACGGACCGTCGACGCACATGGCATGAAATACATGTGCTGCCAGCAGGCACAATGGGTTATCTCAAATATATTTTATGTTTTTTTCATGTGTATTGAATGTCTCAACTATTGATTATCTTATCTAAGCTAATATCTCAGTTGCCCAGCCCGAACCCAACCACCGTCTGCGACACCCATCCTGGTTTTGCTTTTGAGACGACCCATCCTACCTGCTTCTTTTTATAGTGATAGTGAGACGCCATGGTAGCTTCATCCTTAATAGTTTCAGTATTAAAGTTATTATTTTTTACGTCTGCTATTGTTTATAATTAAGTCTAATTTCAAAATGATCATTTAAAAAGTACAAATTTGCATAAAGCCATGGTCTGTTCTGAATAAGTCGCATTGGACTTAGAAAAAAATAGCATTTCTCATTTCTGCCCTAATCTCTCCTCAGTAAAGTCCAATATTTACGTTTCCTATCTCCCTACCACTGAGACTGTAGTTAGGCCGAACTTAGTTTAACAGATATTTCACACTTTCACATATTAACTACCTAAATTGTAGATATAAATGTGAAAAAACAGTTCCTATTTCCGACAGTACTTTAGTACAAGAAAGTCAAGTTTAGACCCTGCAAAATTAGGAAGTATCTGTACTGAATGATATATCAGGTCATTAGAACAGCTTTGCTTGAGACATCGCGACGTCGTGGGCTTGTTGTGGAGAACATATCTTGGATCACTTACATCCAGGCCGACTATCGGGCGGAGTTCTCCTCCCCTCAGAGTTATAATCATTCACAGGTGGAGCTGAAGCAACAGGAGCCTCAGTTCTCTGGACATCTTCTTCTGGATAATAAGGTTGGGGTGTTTTGTCTGGGTATTCCTGGCTGTCGTGGTAGTCGTAGTGTGGAGGAGCGCTGGAGTCGTACGGTGGCTGCCCGACGTCACGGTCATCGTAAGACTCATCTCGGAAGGGGGGTCCACGGTCCTCGTATGGTGAGGGTCCTGGTCCTAGAATTATTTAGGTCTAGCTGGTCAAGTATTTGGTGTAACTGTCGCTACACTGCTACATGTCCCGTATGTCTGTGCAGGGTCAACAGGAACTGACAAACTCTGATTCCCATGTGACATGTTTAGGTTTAGTAAGAGAGAAATATTCACCCACTTGGCCAGGCAGTGGGGGGGTTATGGGGGAAGCATACAAGACTCACTGTAGTCATGTTGGGAGTAGAACCCAGACATTCGTTGTCATAACACATTTACCACTCCCCCACCATATTTAGCACTATAAACTGGGCAGGACTGGCGGACTTTGATCCCTATGTTGGTCACTGTAGTCATGTTGGGAGTAGAACCCAGACGTTCTTTGTCATAACACATTTACCACTCCCCCACCATATTTAGCACTATAAACTGGGCAGGACTGGCGGACTTTGATCCCTATGTTGGCCACTGTAGTCATGTTGGGAGTAGAACCCAGACGTTCGTTGTCATAACACATTTACCACTCCCCCACCATATTTAGCACTATAAACTGGGCAGGACTGGCGGACTTTGATCCCTATGTTGGTCACTGTAGTCATGTTGGGAGTAGAACCCAGACGTACGTTGTCATAACACATTTACCACTACCCCACCATATTTAGTACTATAAACTGGGCAGGACTGGCTGACTTTGATCCCTATGTTGGTCACTGTAGTCATGTTGGGAGTAGAACCCAGACATTCGTTGTCATAACACATTTACCACTCCCCCACCATATAAATAGCACTATAAACTGGGCAGGACTGGCTGACTTTGATCCCTATGTTGGTCACTGTAGTCATGTTGGGAGTAGAACCCAGACGTTCTTTGTCATAACACATTTACCACTACCCCACCATATTTAGCACTATAAACTGGGCAGGACTGGCGGACTTTGATCCCTATGTTGTTCACTGTAGTCATGTAGAACCCAGGCGGAGTAGAACCCAGACGTTCGTTGTCATAACACATGTACCACTCCCCCACCATATTTAGCACTATAAACTGGGCAGGACTGGCTGACTTTGATCCCTATGTTGGTCACTGTAGTCATGTTGGGAGTAGAACCCAGACGTTCGTTGTCATAACACATGTACCACTCCCCCACCATATTTAGCACTATAACCAGGGCAGGACTGGCTGACTTTGATCCCTATGTTGGTCACTGTAGTCATGTTGGGAGTAGAACCCAGACGTTCGTTGTCATAACACATTTACCACTCCCCCACCATATTTAGCACTATAACCTGGGCAGGACTGGCGGACTTTGATCCCTATGTTGGTCGAGACTTTAACAAAACAATACAACTATCTACCAGAAAGTACTCAAGGAAACATAGGGGATACATTTAAACATGATAAAACAGAACAAAACAAAAGGAAGGCAGAAGGCCTTAAAAGTAAAATAAGCATTCTAAAAATGAAAATTGCTATCTAAACATTTAATAAATACACATTGTAGACAGTTAATTACATCCAAACTGAAACTCACACAGTACCCTAATATCAGTTCATGCACATCATCAAACAGCATGCTTCCAACAGTCTAACTGACACCACTGTTCTGTTAACAAGGCAATATACACATACGCTCATGCTTACACTGAGGAAATACATTCCAATGCCTTTTATGTTTAACACCTCCTAAGTCCTTAAGTTAAATTTAGACAATGTTTGTTTTCTCATATGAACATATTCTGAAGTGTGAGGGGTGGTCATGCAGTGAGTGGGCAGGTTTGAACATCACACTGGACAGTGTCCTTGATGAATGTACTGTAGGAGGATCAGTCAAGTGGTCAATCCCTACTTAAATATCAATCCTATCTGATATTGGGCCCAATGTGAAGAAAAACTTGTCCCAGTGATGTCAAGTCTGACAACAAGTAAATCAAATGTTTTTCAATTCTCTTTGAACAGTATGTCAGCTACATCAGCTGAGGTCACTGAAGGTCAATGTTTGCCACCTTGCCAAGGGTCAGTGTTCACAACCCAAGCACCCACATAATTGTGAAATAAAGGACAGTTTTGACATATGGCCATCTTGCTCAATCAAATCTTCACTCCTTAAAAAAATCATGTCCAGTATTTACGATGAAAATGACCATGATGGTTCTCTATCGATAACTATCGGCTGCATGCTGATGTGAACTATATTTAATTTATAGCCTGGCATGTCAACTGAAAAGAATGCAAGCCTGAAGTGATGCAGGGCGTGGACCACCGTGGTAAAATCCACAAGCACATATATGGATCTGAGAAAAAGCCTAAAGATAAAGCTGAACACAAAGAATATAGAATGTTCATGCATGCTAGCAGATGCCTCCCTGGGGCTTACCTTGTGACGGAGACGGTCCGCGGTTGTATGGATCCTCCTCTCCCGGTCGTAGCCCAGGATAACTGCCGGTCCGGGTCTCCTGGAACGGGTCATCGGCAAACGGGTCTTTCCTCAAGGGAGGTAACCCTTGCATACGTCGAATCAAATCAGGATCATCACCAGGTCTATCAGCATAGGGGTCATCAGGGTGACCTTGATAACTATTCCGATATCGGGGATCATCACTAACGTCCCCTTGAGGTCCTATTGAACCCCCATAGGGGTTTTCATGCCGATCTCCATACGGATCCTCTGGATTGTTCTGGTAGCTCTCCCTGTACCGAGGGTCGTTGGGGTCAGCACTTGGGTCATCTGGATGACCTTGATAGCTGCCTCTATATTGAGGCTCATTTCCTGTTTCTGGAATATGTCCATAATCTTCTCCTGGTCGAGATCCGTAGGAGTCATACGGAGGATCCTGGTAACTATTCCGGTATCCTGGTTCCTCCGGGGGCCCTCTGAATGAGTCGTCAGGGTGGCCTCCATAATGAGGATCTGCATCTCGTGGTGCATCATGTTCATCATATCGTGGAGGTCCTCGGTAACCATCATCATCGTAAGGCTGATCTCGGTAATGGGGATCTCCGTATGATCTGTTGATGTCATCTGGATGACCTCCATTGTAGGGGTCTCCGTGAGGTGAGGCCTGATGCCGGGAATCATCCAGTGGAATATCTCTGTACGGGTCTGACGGCAGGGCTGGCTCGGGGTAGCGGTCATCATAATCCCCATAGGTGGGTTGTCCGCCTCGGTACAGGGCGCCCGATTCTGATGGCGTGTTGTAACTGCCTCTACTGCCTGGGTACTGATCTCTGAAACACGACAGACCAAGTCAGCATGAGGTCAATACATGAGGTCAATACAGGAGGTCAATACAGGAGGTCAATACACTCACAACAGTTCAAGAATTATATGAAGAAATACCCCAATACACTAATATCTTGCTTAAACTAATATGATAATAAAACCTTAAAATCCATGATGTCTTTACAAAACTTTGTAGTTATCTCACAAACATTTTGCTGATCATTATATTTCATCTTTTAATAATTGCTACTTAGATGAATATTACAAGAATATTTACAGTATAAATTTAAAGTGAATAACAATCATAACATTGTATGAAACTTATGTATGCCCTCTTGTGTACATATTAAAGTATATTTATTATTAGAAAAAATATTCAAATGATCCATCTGACATTTCAATGGCAACATGTAAATAATAAATATTAATATGAAAAATATTTGGTAAGCAAAATACTTTATTACATGGGATTTTTTCACACTCAAAATAATGTAATTGAAAAACATGCCAACTCTGACATAATTCTCAGAAGTTTCAACACATTGTAGAATTGTAATGAATTACAAATCATAAAATCCCATGTAAATGTGATAAGGATCAAGAAAAGAAACCACAACACAGATACAGGAAGCTCTATAAACACAGCTCTATTAATAACAGCTAAAAACATCAGTCTATGATAGCAGTAATGATCTAGTAAAAGCTATATATAGCAATAGGTTGGTGTACAATGTTAGAAAGAGTGAGTGAGTGAGGGAGTTGGGTTCGATGCTCTAGGGGACAGTCTGTCAGCATAATGTGATGCAGGTATCACCTCCAGGAAATCTGATTTTGTGAATCTGGGATTCAAAGCAAAATCATCAGATTTAGACACACATGAGAGGCAGGCCTGCCACTGCATCGTGACCTGGACGCTGGTATTCCAACGTAAATACCACCATCTTGACATGTGTCCATCATAAAAGGAGTGAGTGAGGGTCTTAAATGCCCAAACCAACAATAGTTCAGTTATATTAGAGGACAGAAGCAAAGCCACTTTGGTTAAACCAATAAGAAGGGAAATGTTGAACTTGCAGAATGAGTGTGTTTGTGTCTGTTCATCTGTTCGGGTTTGAAGGTCATCAAGGGAAGCAACTTAGCACAGCGCATTGCTGGCCACTAGTGACAGAAACACCTATCTCCTGGAGTGAGGGAGTGAGTGGGTTTAGTTTTACGCCGCACTCAACAATATTCCATTTATACGGCGGCGATCTGTAAATAATCGAGTCTGGACCAGACAATCCAGCGATCAACAGCATGGGCATTGATCTGTGCAACCGGGAACCAATGACATGTGTCAACCAAGTCAGCGAGCCTGACCACCCGATCCCGTAAGTTGCCTCTTACAACAAGCATGGGTTACTGAAGATCAATATTCTAACCCGGACCATCACGGGTTATCTCCTGGATGTAGTGTTAGTAGGGAGTATGTGTGGTGTTAGTCTGTATGATTCCCCTTCCAAAATGTCAATGAGCAGGATAACTAGAGAGCAGAAAGAGAGAAAGACCTCACCAACAGAAGCTGAGGTTACAGTCATGGACTGGCAGGACATGTGACCACATCACATGACCCATGTCACATGACTGGCCATGTACCTGCTACACCTGTTGCTTCAATAACCTACTGATCTTAACAACACATAATTTTAAAAAACTGGAAATTTACAACAAATGTAATAATGTTTTGACAACTTTGTAACTATGTTCTTAGAAAGTTTGATTCTATTTAAGTTACTATTTTGGAAATGTTGTCATGCGGTCAGTTGATAGAATTCACTGTTGATAGGAGTGCAGTGCATTGACACACACTGAAAATACATCATCATGTTTAGAAGCATCCGATGTGTGACATGTGGAAACACATCAGCTTCACACTCTGACAACACTTTACTGATTTATTACCTGACACACAGAGTAATTTCATTAACTCTTGGTGGTCATTTTGCCAAATATTTTAAAAATCTGAACATGCATTTTCAAAGTGTTTCAGTATATCGTAATTTAGTACATGAGACAAAGAGAGGAATCAGTCTGAAATCACAATGCATCATAACACAGAAAGAATTTCCTTGTTTACAAATGATTGTTTCCTTGACAACTGAAACATATCAACAGTGAAGATAAGTATGAAGCAGACAGATTGTGTACCTGTGCACATAGCCGTCGTAATTATCAGTGTTTGGGGAGTCGTTGCTATAACGTGCGACGCTGCCCCGCGGCGAACTGCCGTAGTGAGCAGGAGCTGAGGGGAAGTGTTCAGGAAGATGACTCGGACGAAAACCTAGGGTCAAAGCCTCTCGGGGATGCTGACCTAGGGAGTGGTGATCCACGGATCCCCTCTCCTGGCCGGCTGATTGACTGGTACGTGGCATAGTTGCCGTTCTGCTGTTCCTGTGGCAGGGAACTCAGCGATCCTCTGGGTCCGAGCTCCTCGCTTGTGATGATACGGGACACTGTGGGCACCTGGCACACAGAGACATACAGAATATCTACCAACTGTGTCTTGATGTCAAACATCTTACCAAGAGTTTACAAAGGTTTAGGACTTTTGTAGATGCAGTGATAAATCTACAATTTTTAGTGAATGAGTCCTGGGACTCGCTCAGTAATGAGTCCTTTTGAAGTTTTTGTGAGTCCCTCAAACTTTACATACATACATACTAACATTTGTATAGCGCCGATGTCAAGCTCAGAAAGAAAAATATCAGCTTGTAAAACATTATTGCTACTACATATCATACACCATTTGAAAGGTCTAATCCTAGCTACCTGTTTCTAAATATGAAGTTTATCTTTTATCATATTATTCAAATAATGCAACTACACCTTTAATAAGTTAATTTAAATGAAAATGCAAGCTTACACAATTATAATGTCCGGATAAACCACAAAGGAAGCAAAAATGCGGCGATTTTTTTCCATTTGTAACATGTCATAATATCCCCTTACCTTTTCTTTTTTTTTTTTTCATTTTTACGTAATCGGAAAATTATTATAAAAAGATTTCTCAAATAATATGTATGGTCGTCTATTTCCCGTTATCAGTGCCTTTCCGCTCGGTAACTTGATACAACGGTGGAAAATACCTCCGTTTTCGAAGCTTCGTATGAATAACATGTAAGGCGATTCGTTTGATGGTGGCTGTCGTTCAAAAGCTCGGAACATCAACAATATCACTGTACCCTTGCCAAGAATATTTTCACAGTTGTAAGAAGCGATTTTATTGGATAAAGATTGCTTTCTAATGACGCTTTTTCGCCCCAGTCTGCCATAAGGGTCATGATTGGTCGAGGCAGCCAATCATATTAAAGCAATGGATACCGTCCTTGTAAACAAAAACTTATAGAGTCAGACGGAAGTTTTGGGTAAAATCATTGTATTCTGAACGTGTTACGCAAAAAATCACCACCTATACGTATATTATGGAACTTAATGGACGTATCGTGCTAGGTTATGACCTGTGACAAAAATGCTTTATGCATATATTTTAGCCATTAAACATCGTGTCCGAGATCTAAGTTCGAGGCGATGAAAGCCGAGATGTCTCTTGAATTACACTACACGATCGCTCAATAAAGATGGAAATAGTAAGTTATCATGTATGTTTGACAACTTTTATGACTTATATGAGTACTATTGTTGATTTTATTATTCAGTTTATTCAATTTGTTTAATTATTTCCAAAACATTGTTACTTTGCTGTTTGACAACTTTGATATGGACCCGCTGCCGAAGCATCTGTCCGAGAAAGCATGTATGATCAGTGAATATGTATGCATCCACAGATATCCAAATATTTTACATGTGCGTCCTTTCAAATTTTCATGCGTACATTACGCAGGACACGCGGGTAGATTTATCCCTGAGATGTATTTGATATGAAGACAAACAAACGGTAAAATTATAATAATCATCCAAAATCATTCTTCCAAATAACATTAATGGTAGAGAGATTAATGATGTCACTGTGGCAAATGCCATAGACGTAATACCTGTGGAGGCCAGTTACTGACGATAAATACGAAGGCAAAAACAGTCCTTGAGAAACCAATAGCAATCAGGAATAAAACAGGAACGATGCTGCGAGATGGCATCCAAGAACCCTACTTGCGTATCAATATTGAACCATTTATGTTCTTCTAGAAAACACTGCGTGACACTGTCAGCGAACCTACTTTAGCGGGACGTCCCCGGTTGCTGCCAGCACTCTGCAAGGATACATGGGAACCATGGGGGGAGACTTCTCGGTCATATGACATGTTTGGGTTGCCATAGTTGCCCCCGCCTCCGTAGCCCATCCCAGGACTGGAGTTGTAGTGTCCACTGTATTGGTCTTCGTGGATGTAGTCCATCCTACCGTCCTCACTGCAATAACAAGCATACACCTCCTTCATTATACACTGTTTTAACCTCACAACGTAGTTTATCATGGTCGACTAAAGAAACTGTATTGTCTTACATCTGCATAAAGAGTGAGTGAGTGAGTGAGTGAGTGTTTTACGCCGCTTTTAGCAATATTACAGCAGTATCACGGCAGGAGACACCAGAAATGGGCTTCACACATTGTACCCATGTGGGGAATCAAACCCGGGACTTGGGTGTGACGAGCGAATGCTTTAACCACTAGGCTACCCCACCGCCCCTCTGCATAAAGAATTACTGAGGCTGTAACACAGATATAACATTACTTAGACCCAGTGAGACTCCAGGTCTCATGGATCAAGTAGACCAACATGGCGACTTAGTTGATAGTGTGTCAGCAAACAAAACATTCAACCCACCTACATTTACTGTAGTACATACGGGTAACTTGTAGTAATTCAAGTTTCAAAAACACATACATATCATTGAAATAAATACTGCTTGATTATAGCCAGTTGCTATAGCTTATCTGTCATGATTGATTAACTTTCAGTACCTCTACAAAATCTTTTGAACAGTACCAAAGGGTCAGCTTCATACTGTACATCCTATAAACCATCTCTCCCAGTCTTTCCTTTTCACAATCCCCCACTAGATGGTTAGTCAGTATACAGTGTATTGTAACATGAATGTCATCCTGCTGCAGTATGAAGACTTGTGTCATCCCAATCCATCATTATCCGTGCACCGATTCCACACTGAGATCCAGGAAGGACTTACAGAGTTTTATTTCACACATTCCCTTCTACAATCAAATGTCATTAGCATCAATCATCCCACCTGCAGCAGCAGGATGACTTTCATGTGGGTTTAGCTGAAGGGTTTATGTTCATTTAACAATATGGAGAAGGCTTCAGCAGAGAGTTGCTTCTAAAGATGGATTAAGCTCGTAACAAGGGCAATGATGCCACTTCTATGCATTCTAGAAAGACAAGCCTGCATCTGAACCCATCATACAGGGGAACACAGAATCTAAATGTGACGTGAAAGGCAACATGAATCTTAGTTAGTAATTGGACATATTGGATGAGATGGAACCTATAGTACAGGGCAATTAGCTACAATATTGAGAAAATGGTGTATTTTACAAATTGGATTCATATTGCTTTCTCTTTTAATAAGAGAAAACAGAATAATGTATGAAAAAGTTGTCAGGGAAATATTCTGTAATCAGGCCTGTCAAATAACACATTTATTGATAATTCTGGTAAAAACGATCAAATAGCAAATTTCAATATTTGTTCCAAAACTCCCTTTCGGTTTTACTTGGCAACATAAACCATTATCCTGATCTCAATGCTTTGTCCTCTTACCTTTTGATTTTGTAAGGAGGATGTTTTAGTTCATTTAGTTTATTTGCAGAATTTATGTCCTAAAAATAAAAAAGTTGTTTAACAAACAACAATTCTGCAAATAAATCAGAGTTGGTCTGATGTTTTGATTATGATCAACATTTCATTGAGTATTATATGTTTATTATTTTTCGAGTTAGGTTGCAATTCATCGGTCCGCTTTTGAGCCAAACAGACTATAATGAGGTGGATCTCTGAAGCCTATATTCTGCACACCTGATACATTGTCTTGACAGTAATCAAGAGATAACATTATTTTGAACTATTTCACCAGTCAGTGAGCAAACTAGCACTGACGAAATGTAGAGGTAGGTACGTTCCACCAACAATCATATGTGCAAGCGTTAACTTCATGACGACATTTCACACATTGTGACATCCTCCTGTTAATGAGATTCTGTCTGTTTCAAATAAATCTACCGATCTGACCTTTTCTGGATTGAAAAGTCTCGATAGGAATTCATTTCCTGAAATACTTTCAACAGATGAGAGACAAAATAGCTTTTTTTCACCAGTTGCAAAACACAATGCTTTCCAAACGGTGGCTAAATGGATTGTTATTGGGCTATCTTTGGATTAATCGTTTGTCTCATATTAAGATGACTGTCTGAACTAAAAAAAAACTTACAAAAATCAAACAAAAATACAAAACAAAATCAAAGCAGGAAGACAACTAAATAGCACAAATGAAATACGAAGAAAAGACAGAAAAAGCGAAATGACGAATACAATGTAACCATGGTAACATAAAAGTGGAATTACTCTGGCTTATTTACACACACACATGTAGATAATTATTCCAGTCATGTTTGTACGTAGGATAAATCAACATGAATATTACTGAAAATTATAGCTATTAACAGTAATAATCATATTGACGTCAAATATTTCACACATTCAAGAAAGGGAAAAATGTTATTCAAAAGTTTTGGCTACAAATACATGACCTCCTACAGGTATCTGTCAAAATACAATTCCTGGGTAAGTTAGACGTCACCATCACCACGTGATATCAAAAACTTTTGTATCGTGAACATTTTCACGACAACCTCCCTCCACTGTAAAACATGTATATTGATGCATATTTATGTATGAAGTATTTGACAAGAACAGAGTGTAGATGCAGTTGAAGCAAGCAACCATTTGAGCCAGAGAAGCACATTGATAATGGCCTGACGTGAACCATGTCACCGTGACCCTGCTACCAAAGGTTAGTGAGACAATAAACAGAGGGAGAAACAAGGTAAAGGTATCACAAGTTACATTACAATATTACAATTGTCATGTCAGTGTCATCTCAGCATGAGTTGTTCAACAAGATTTCAAAAGGTAAACCTGGGGACACCGACAACTGTGGTAACAATAAAACATGAAAACAGGAGGTACTCACCTGTTTTATCATTCCGTAAATATCTCCCACTTATGTTGTTTATTCTGTATGTTAGATGACTATCTTGGGACATTGGGACACATAACTACAGCACTGTACAGTCTGCTGATAAACTTGAATGACAGGGATGATGTCACTGCATAGCGGTCGACACTGGGAGTGGGGAGTGCCCCTGGGGAATGTTAGTACACAGGTGCTGGGGCTGTAGACCACACAAAGCATTTCCTTGTTTGTAACATGTTGGTCACCATGTTTAACAAATTATAGAGGTGAGGTGAGGTGAAATTGGGTTTTACGTCGTGCTTGAGAATATTTCGCTCATATGACGACGTGCATGCGTGTATGTGTATGTGTATGTGTATGTGTATGTGCGGCTGCTTGTACTAGCCGAGACTTAAGCTGGTTTTATAGTGCTAGCCCACTGAGATACCATGCCGCAGTGAAGCATGAATACCCCACTCAGACACATTATACTGACTCCGAGCTGAACAGTCCTTGTTGTACCCATTAATGCCGAGCGCCAGGCAGGGACCAACAAGTACCATATTTTAACGTCTTTTGGTATGACGACGGTCGGGGATCGAACCCGCGACCTTCTGCTCTCCTCCAATTTCCATTACTAATGCCAGAACATTCCAAGAGTCTCCTTTATAAATGAGAGCGATAAGCTGTTTGAATATTATTTCACTTACAAAGTAGCACTGAATGTGTGAGGAGAGCCCACCATTGTGAACCTGGGCCCCATTCCTCAAAGCGATCATAACCCTAAGATGATCGTAACTCCTATAATTTAACACAGTCGTAGGGCTACGATCGCTTTGAGGAACGAGGACCTGAACAACAGACATATATTAGGCAGAATAAGGGTTCAAACAAGTGACTGGCTCCTTATGGCACAGCTATGTGAAGTAACTCTGGGAAGAAGAAAAAACAGAATCAAATATTCCAACATAATGACAATTTCCATCTACACTGGGTTGCCGAGTTGGCAGCTTCCTCAGTATAAGTGTAATTGTCTCTACACTCCAACAGGGCAGCCAACGTCAGGACAAGAATCTATTTCCACCACTCACTCCACATGGATGATGCGATGACCAAGTTCTCTGCAGGTTAACTAACGAGTTTACTTCTGAAGGTGTCAAGCTGTATATAAACCATTATTAACACATTCGGCGATAATTGTGTGGTATGTACTTGAGTTTCCCAAAGAGGGAGATTAGGACAGAGGTAACAATTTGTGGCACCAGCAGAACACTGCTGAGCATGTTGGGGTCTGCCCATGTTTTGTCAAAACTAGTTGGACTCCACAAGAGAGGTCGAATCCAGTTCTGTATCAAAGGATTGGAACTGATGCAACATGGCTTCATGTAGGAGGAAGGTTTGGAGAAGCTACAAACACAAGTATACCAGGACTGGGATTCAAACCCATAACCTAGCAGCCAAGGGAGTAAAGGTGAAATGATCCTGAAGCCAGCCACCATATAAAGGGGTGAGTCTGTAGGTGAATGGCAGCACAAATGAAACAGACAGAGATTCTGGCAACACCGGGAACTGTGTTCCCCGAGGACTCCTGGCTGATGTTGTAACAACACCATCAGTATCCTCGATCTGGGGAGGGGGGCAGGGGGGCTTGGGAACAGAGAGGACAGGGGAGCAAGGGGGACTGGGGGAGCACTGGGCCACACAGCTGGCATTGTGCCACCAGACCAACAACCTAGCCCCAACAGAACTGTCTGTGACACAATCACCACAAAACAGTTATGGAAGTGGCAAGTGATGCTCACACTGCAGCCGGGATTAATTCACTCTAGGTCAGACAGATGCTGGTCTCAGATAAACCTTGTGGAACCGGAGATCAAAGTTCACCAATATGTCCCTGTCAAGTGCCAGCCCAATACTGATCACACTGATAGAAGGAAAACAATCCTGCTTCTTTCAAATTGTTGTTTGTGGCCCTGATTATGGGCAGGTTTGGTTTCAACAATATTTAACAAATCTTCTGAATGTCAAAGAAAAGCCTGAGGAAGTGGAGACTGTGGACATTTACAACAATCACAAACGGTGCTTACAAACCTGAACCCATAATCATGCCAACGCCCTACACGCTGTCTGATCCGCATAGTATATCTACTGGACGACCATGGACCAACGCCCTATCCCCTCTCTGATCAGCAAGGTATATCTACTGGACCACGCTCCTACCCTGTGTGATTGGTAAGGTATATCTACTGGACCACGCTCCTACCCCATCTGATTGGCAAGGTATATCTACTGGACCACGCTCCTACCCCGTCTGATTGGCAAGGTATATCTACTGGACCATGCTCCTACCCCATCTGATTGGCAAGGTATATCTACTGGACCACGCTCCTACCCCGTCTGATTGGCAAGGTATATCTACTGGACCATGCTCCTACCCCGTCTGATTGGTAAGGTATATCTACTGGACCACGCTCCTACCCCGTCTGATTGGCAAGGTATATCTACTGGACCACGCTCCTACCCCGTCTGATTGGCAAGGTATATCTACTGGATCACGCTCCCACCCCGTCTGATTGGCAAGGTATATCTACTGGACCACGCTCCCACCCCGTCTGATTGGCAAGGTATATCTACTGGACCACGCTCCACCCCATCTGATTGGCAAGGTATATCTACTGGACGCCCCACCCCGCCTGATTGGCAAGGTATATCTCTGGACCACCCGTCTGATTGGCAAGGTATATCTACTGTTGGCAAGGTATATCTACTGGACCATCCTACCCCATCTGATTCCTACTACACCCGTCCCATCTGATTGGCAAGGTATATCTACTGGACCAGCTGATAAGGTATATCCACGCTCCCCCCTAAGGTACTGATTGGTAAGGTATATCTACTGGTATATCTGACTGGACCACGCTCCTACCCCATCTGATTGGCAAGGTATATCTATAGCATGGACCACCCCTGTCTGATTGGTAAGGTATATCTACTGGACCAGCTCCTACCCCATCTGATGGACTGGACCACCCCACTAGACCAGCATGGACCACCACCCCACCCCACCCCTGTGATTGATGGGTAAGGTATATCTACTGGACCAGCATGGACCCCCTGTCTTATTGGTAAGGTATATCTACTGGACCAGCATGGATCACCCCTGTCTGATTGGTAAGGTATATCTACTGGACCACCATGGACCACCATCCTGTCTGATTGGTAAGGTATATCTACTGGACCAGCATGGACCACCCCCCTGTCTTATTGGTAAGGTATATCTACTGGACCAGCATGGACCAGCATGGACCACCCCCCTGTCTTATTGGTAAGGTATATCTACTGGACCAGCATGGACCACCACCCTGTCTGATTGGTAAGGTATATCTACTTGACCAGCATGGACCATCCCCTGTCTGATTGGTAAGGTATATCTACTGGACCAGCATGGACCACCCCCCTGTCTGATTGGTAAGGTATATCTACTGGACCAGCATGGACCACCCCCCTGTCTGATTGGTAAGGTATATCTACTGGACCAGCATGGACCACCCCCCTGTCTGATTGGTAAGGTATATCTACTGGACCAGCATGGACCACCCCCCTGTCTGATCGGTCACTATGTATGCCCTGTTGTATAACTCTGGCCTCCAACAATACTAAGTCTACAAGACCTGCATTCCTTCCCATTTAGGTTGGCAGGGCACCAGATAAAAGCTTTGTCATCTGTCAACACCATGGATAAACAAAGGCTGTAATGTAAACATGCACATGTCTAAGGGTAAATAACAAACCTTATGTTTTCATATTGACAGCAATGTGTGAGTACACATGTCCCTGCTCCACAGTGAAGGCTTGTTATAGCTGTAGCATGTATCATATACACAACACCCAGTGTATACAGATATACAGGTGTATACATTAGTTATTGACCGGATTCACATATGAATATTTTTACACAACTATATATTATTGTCTAGCCACAGTAGTGTTGGGAATTGGTTGAAATCTCATAATTGATGATTGCTTCATTACCAACGAACAATCATCGATAAAAATTGGTTAGCGTTAATTTTCAGATTTTCCTATCCAGGTTGTTATTGCAGATATGTATAACATGATGCACCTTACTACTTTAAAGTGATGTTGATATATCTTAAACATAAACCTTCTGGGGTCTTCAAGAAATATTCAGTCATGACTTTTCAGTTAGTGAAGTGAGTTTTCTAAGAATTAAACAAGTTTTCAGGCCCTGACAACTTCAAAGTTATGTTCCATCGTCAAGTGTTTCAAACACTAAAACAGCAGTTCCAAAATCGTTTGTGTTCGATTATGAGAAAATGTGATCGATTGCTTGGTCGTTTGGTCACTTCGACCAATCTTCGATTATTTCAATTAATCGGAACACCACTAAGCCACAGGGATATGTTGACCAGGTAATTGTCACTCTCACTTGTGTTTAATCTACAGTGTTGTGTAAGCAAGCCAGCATGAAGCAGAGGAAATATAAAATGAAAACAAACCTACAAGTTAGCGAGAACTCAGACGTGAAGAAGCAGCAAATCAACTAGGCCATTCATTCCACATTCCGTGACGTGTCGCGAAAAAAACACAAAATTTGCCTTACCGCACGTACCCAGTGTTCAGTGTTCCTCGGTCCTCCAGTTCTCGCCTGTCATAGACAAAACACAGTGCAGTGCGTGGGTTGAAGCAAACATATTGTAAGCAAATACACAACAATCACCCTCATCTCTCAAAGCAAGTGTCCAAATACAAAGAGCAGCATACCTCTATGATCACACATCTGTGCTAACCACATCCGCATGGGCTAACTATGACACACCACCATCATAATTGATTGGAGATCTTTTTCACCATTACTTTTCCTACAAAATATTCATCAAAATGCAGTAATGACACTTTCATTTTGAGATTTGATTCTTATGTTATTCTATCCTTCAGTGGAGACACGGACACGATGTACAAGGAAATCTAACATTGGACAGTGGATCACGTGATCAGGGATCACAGGAAAGCAATTTGAAAATAAACAATGTATTCTTTCTCTGAAGTGTTAAAAGAGACTAAATATTTTTAAAGTTAGCTAGGTCATCCTGACCTTTGAACCCGAAAGAGCAGAGGTCTGACATATTTTTATTTGTGGGGCTGTGGATTCCCCACAGGAAGTGATTCTCTTTCTTTGTGAGCTGCCCCAAGATTTTCCTTTGATGATGTCATGATCCACGAGCAAGATGTAACGTGTGTCACCTGCCTGAAGTCATTTAGTAATAGTCGGACCTCCCCCCCCTAGTGGGACCCCTGCTGGTGATTCATGCTGGAACTATTCTACACTCATGTCACTTGTTGCACGCTGCAGTAAGTAGACATGACGGTGCTGTAAATCAGATACAAGTAGAAATCCCATGCTCAATATCATAGTTATACACAGTCATAATTTCTTAAACCAACTGCCACTTGCTTGAGAGATAAGGACTTGATACATACAAAACCAAACAAACACAGGTAGAACAGAGCACATCATCATTGGAAGGAAGCTTGAACTGAAATCATTGACTTGCTATGGCTGCAGAAATAACACATACTTGAACTTCCAAAATATCTACAAATTACAATGTCTCATACAGAAAAGATACACTATATAACATATGGATAAACTGTATTCCATCATCGCAAATGGATAACAGTGTATTCCATCATCGCAAATGGATAACAGTGTATTCCATCATCGCAAATAGATAACACTGTATTCCATCATCGCATATGGATAACACTGTATTCCATCAATTGCAAAAGGATAACAGTGTATTCCATCATTGCATATGGATAACAGTGTATTCCATCATCGCATATGGATAACACTGTATTCCATCATCGCATATGGATAACACTGTATTCCATCAATTGCAAAAGGATAACAGTGTATTCCATCATTGCATATGGATAACACTGTATTCCATCATCGCATATGGATAACACTGTATTCCATCATCGCATATGGATAACAGTGTATTCCATCATCGCATATGGATAACACTGTATTCCATCATCGCATATGGATAACACTGTATTCCATCATCGCATATGGATAACACTGTATTCCATCAATTGCAAAAGGATAAAACTGTATTTCGCAAATGGATAACACTGTATTCCATCAAGTACATATGGATAGACATTAGGCATCCATAATCACAGATGGAAACAATATATTCCATCATGGACTACACAAACACATTCCTCACATGATAACGGCTGGGCTTACACTTATTAGTTATCTCCAGTTAAATTAAGCCGGTTGTTAGTTGAGTAAACAAATCTGGTTAAACCCATCTCCACATCTACTACCATCACCAGTGTTAATTGTTACAGGACAACACAGAAGACAGACTGGATCAGAGTTTGTTGGTAGTATCATAAGATTTACAGAAGACGTCCAGCTGATCGCAGGGCATTCAACACTGGGTATCAGATAAATCAGTAGTACATCATAACGTAATACACAGGTGTTTCTCACAGTGAATCTAGGACATAGATGAATTGATACCTCTGTCCCATATCTGAATGACCTTGCACTCTGCTTCTGGAGATCATCGATTAATCAGGGAACTAAGTCCAAATAGCTCCTCACTGCTGAATGTATTCATAGTCCACAACACACAGAATATATCGCTCTTCCACCCTCGACAGTATTATAGTTAACACAGAACATATAACCCTCGACAGAACATAGTTAACATAGCTCTTCCAAACTCTTGCTGCACATTCGAGACAGCTCAATAATACTTCACAGTTTAAACCAGTTGGAAATAGCAGCACAGATAAAAGTTACTACGCTGAGTCAAAAGTAAGGCATGTCGACAAGAAACGGGTTCCTGTGTTACAGGGTTTTTTCACAAGTGAAAGCTCCTAATATCACTACCACCTGTCAATGTTGATACCTCGGAATAGACGTCAGCTGACATAGGTAGGTTAATAGGAGAGAGACAAAGAAATAGGAGAGGAATAGTTACCCTACAATGTTATGTCAGGGGCTGTGTCAAAAGCAGATTAAACAATATATTATGGGATTACTCATTAACATAGAACCCGTGTTAAACAAATAACATGTCTCAATCTGGACTTGTGCAGGTCAAGCATCTGTTTGATGGAAGATAGAAAGTGTGGAGGTAAAAGATTGATATGGGATAAAAATGTTTGCAACATGGTCCCTCCATAAAAACAGGTTGCAATCAGCTGATTCACCCTTCCTTTATGAGAAGAGCGGAGTCGCTGATCCATGGGAGGTATGCTGGAGGCAATGTTGTTCACCATCAGGAGGTCACTGGGTACGTTGTCACTCTCTATAAACATTCCGTGTCACTGTGTTGCAATGCTAGAGCTCAGGTCTGTCCATCATTTATACACTCATTAATATTTTTCAATTGATAGAATTATAATTTATTCATAGATTCTGCTTTAAGTTGGGAAAGAAAGTATTATTTCACAACATTTACTCACATTTGGAAAGGGAATTTAATGTTTCCCAGTAAACATTATTTTTTCATTTACACTCACACTTGTTAAAAGATGATCGAATGTCCTGATATCAAACATGTTTTACCACAAGATATTCCTTTTTGCTTTATACTTATGTCAGGAAAGAAAACTGAGTTAATTATTATCAATTCTTAACCGGGGGCCTACTTTAGGCAAAGACACCCTATATTAAGAAGTCCTCCAGTAGTATATACCCTCTAAATAACTTACAGTGAGCAGATCTACCTTCCAGATTTCATTAACTTGATAAATAGCCTGTTTAACTTACTTCAGCCTCTGTAATCCAAGCCCCTTACCTAAATAAATACATATGTATTTTAATCATTCCAACAAGATTTCACAATGTCTTGACATCATTGATGTCAACACTCCCACAGAGATGCCCACAACCCCTACAATCATTAGTTGTACAGTTCTGATTTCATCATTTATTCAGTTAACTGTCCTTTATGCATGCAAGAGCCTGGTTTGACAACAATCCATGACATTACAAGCCAAATCATAAGCCATTAAGATATGTTGTACACATGCCTGGCTGGAATTAACTTCAAACTGAAATGTAAATTATTAACAACTGTTTTGTGTTTTATGGCCTTGTTTGGAAGGAGATTTCAATTATTCAGCATTGCCGCTATTCAATGCCACACACATGACATACACTTGCAGTCTGACATGTTGTTTTATCTGAATTATTGATTACTTTTCTACTCACATAACAAAGAGGTATCCACCAGTCAGGGTGTACGTATTGTAGACATACCTCACAGTGGTAATTTGTGTTATTTCTTATCACATGACCATAAATATTGTTTCACTCTAATTACAATTATATATATGATGTATGACATATATAATTTGCAAAAGATGATCATAAGATTTGAAGATTAGAATATTAAATCTTTTAGAATTAGTTCCTGAATGAAGGCGTGGGCCCTGGTATTATCAATAATGCATGTGGCGGGTCCCCAAACACCGAGCCCTCATCCATTCATCAGGAAACCACAGCGACACCGCAAATCTCTGGGACTTATTGATTCCCATCTCCAGGAAATACTTGGTCCAGGAAAACATATATTTCCTGGGGGTCACACAGGATAGATTTAAATGACTACAAGAATCAACATGCAAAACCATGCTCTCTTACTTACACAGTGAGAAGGGTGAACTTAGCATATTCTTGTTACATAACTGTCAGTTGGCACAGTGTTACACGTCTTCTCATGTGATCATAACATGGTATGTTAATGTTTTAAGATTACAACGAGATGTTTATAGAATGTGACGTTTAACATGAAACGGTATGTTTGCCAAGAAATAATTATCTCTAAGGAATGCATGAAGAAAATCATTAAAATTTGTAATTCACAAAAATATTTCCTCTACCAGCAAGGGGATCTACATATTTGATAATTTTACCATTTTGATTCCTGATATTGTTCATAACTACCTAAAAAACTGTTTTAAATATGTGATAACACTTGCTACCATGTCTTCACCAGATGCTACATATTATTCCACCTCATCATGATGATGTCACAATTGTCTGAAAGGCGTTGTGATGCAACGTCATAACAGTGATCTATCAACGGAGATATCACTCGATATCTCGCACAAAGAGTGGAACACAATGCAAGGGACACCTGTTGTGACTAGCATGTCCCCCTTTAGGGCTTCATAGAGTGGCATTTAGATGTTGGTGTGATCAACAAGGGGGTATGTCTGTGGATATACAACTTCTGTGTTACAAGATATAGAAAAGTGTAGATGCTAGCACCATTATCAAGCAAGTGATACCAGATGAGTTGTGTGGGAAAGAATAATGAAGCTTAAATCCATAAACAATATCTTGGACAAGTGATACCAGTGTTAGCATCTACACTGAAACGTCACACGTAATACAGAAGTTGTATATCCATAGATCTGTCCCACTTGGGCTGCTGAGATCTAGGGTTAGTGAGTTGGGTTTTACACCTCTTGAAGCAACGATCCAGCAGATGTCACCCATAACTTTGTTGTACCATGTAACAATCCATTGTGTGCTGTGTATCAAGCCGTCATCTACCGTGTATCAATCCCACCTGAACCATGTACTGGGTATCAATCCATTGTGTACTGGGTATCAATTCATTGTGTACTGGGTATCAATTCATTGTGTACTGTGTATCAATCCATTGTGTACTGTGTATCAATTCATTGTGTACTGTGTATCAATCCATTGTGTACTGGGTATCAATTCATTGAGTAGTGTGTATCAATCCATTGTGTACTGTGTATCAATTCATTGTGTACTGGGTATCAATTCATTGTGTACTGTGTATCAATCCATTGTGTACTGTGTATCAATCCATTGTGTACTGTGTATCAATCTATTGTGTACTGTGTATCAATCCATTGTGTACTGTGTATCAATCCATTGTGTACTGTGTATCAATCCATTGTGTACTGTGTATCAATCCATTGTGTACTGTATATCAATCCATTGTGTACTGTGATAGCGATAGGGTTAGCTGGCAGTGATAGGGTTAACACAGATGAGAATACATGTTAGCTGGCAGTGATAGGGTTAACACAGACCTGGCTAAAGCAGAACCTCATTAACCTGGACCTGTAAACTAATCCTGACTGACAAATTTATAGTCAGATTGCAATGTTCAAAATTAGAGAGATCTGGTCTTTAATTAAGATCCCTGACTTGCACCCTTCAACTTGAACAGAAGGTGGCAGGCTATGACGGTATTCCCTCAACTCTTCGTGGTATGTATTTGTAAGCACTGTTACATACTACGACCAGTTCGCCATATGGAGACAACTTTATCAGAAGTTATCCAACAATGTCCAGATTAATGGGATGTCCAGACTTGCAGGGTTTGGCTGAATGTAGGCGGGTGATGTGACGATGTGATGTGATGTGTTTAATGAAGATGGGTCTCAAGCTAACAAGGACACTACAGAAACACAGAGAAGAGACATGAAAGAATAGCAGGGGAAATATTCCATGAATCAATTCTGAATGACAACAAACACATGCACCATCCACATGCAATCATGCTGAAAAACACTGCAAAGATTTGAACACCTTTTGATCAAATAGAAATTGCTGTCTCTGTGGATTTTCTTCAATCAAAAAGTTGAGAGCAGAATTGAGGCTGCTCATTAGCAGTTGCCATGGCAACTGAACATAACCACATTCTCATTCTCTCAACTAAAGTCTCCAGCCTACTTGGGGCCCTTGTAGGTAGCGAATAGGATATGAGACACTTTACTGATTTCCTAAAGACCAAAATCTTCCTAAATGCTTAATCACCTAGTCCTCTTTGTAAAGATATAAAAAAGACTCAGTTATTTAAAACTTCTTATCACTGCATACCTCCCACCCACAGTTTAATGATAATTCCCAAATTTGCTGCCTGTTCCAGATGATGACCTTCTGGACAATGACCATCAAGAAGGACACACAGACTGTTTTCCTAGAAACCAAATAGATCCTTAGTAGTCCTGCCACAGAAGATTGTGTAAAGATTTGCTGTTCATGGTTCTGTTTTATTGACGTAGCTTGAGTTGAGGCGGGCCCATACTCACAGACAAGAGTCCAATAGATGCGAGCTCATTTTCGAGGTGTCTGCCAAGTGACTTGGGTCATCCTCGTAGTACGACGTCTGCTGGGACGAGGGCTGCCCTCGCCACATGTACGAGTCGTCCGCACTCGTCATGCTTCCAGAGTCACTACCTAGTCTATGCTGAAAGAAATAATACAACACCAAGGGCCTTGTTAGTCCCTCTACAGACGGACATAACAAAATACATACACGCACACAGACACATGTAGACAGACAGACAGACAGACAGGCACACAGGTAAACAGACGCACAGGTAAACAGATGCATAGACAGACAAAATACATACACACACACATAGATACACATAGACAGACAGACAGACAGACAGACAGACAGACAGACAGACAGATGGACAAACAGCCATACATCAGTAGTGGTAGTCAGGGAATCATCTAGACTTGTTCAATGGCCAGTTTTCTTCCCTAGCAAACATCATAAACATTCACAAATTTGAATAAAAAACTGTCCCAATTAATCACAAAAAGATAGCAACAAAAGTTATGGTTTTAAAGACACAACTTTTCTTTCCTTGTTAACAGGGCCAACTGAGAAAGATTTACTTCTACATTATTTCAATGAACATGCTCAATGCTATGGTTGTGTATCTCTGAAATTTAACTAAAAACATTCCCAGTTGGGACAACAACAACAAAATTCAATACTGTAAAGATATAAAAGGCGCTTAGTCTGGAATCCTACACAAATTCCTGGATACAACAATATCATCAATATCAGATTGGAGTATCTGAAGTATATATGACAGTATTCTGGTCTATATTTGAATTCCCAAATAGATTTTTCTTTCACTCAGTACTGTAAAGGTAGTTATGTAAAACAATACTGACGACTACTACTGCCACTTGCTGACACCCAACACATGGCCACAGACCTACACAGGCATATGTGAAGTTGACAACGGGGCTGGCCAAGGTGATTAGCTCAGCTGGGTTTAAACTGCTTTACTGGCCAAGGTGATTAGCTCATCTGGGTTTAAACTGCTTTACTGGCCCAGGTGATTAGCTCAGCTGGGTTTAAACTGCTTTACTGGCCAAGGTGATTAGCTCAGCTGGGTTTAAACTGCTTTACTGGCCAAGGTGATTAGAACAAAAATGCTTTGAGTGGCATTTACATTTTGGTGTGATGAACAAGTCGTAAGGATATGCAACTTCTTTATTACAATATATGATACACTTCAGTGTAACCCCGTTATCAACTAGCTGGCATATATTGCAATAAAGAAGTTGTATATCCATAGAACTACTGTCCTTGCATATCACACTACACTAACACATGTTGATTGGACAGGCACACAGACAGACAGACAGACATCTGTCATGATAGACAAGGAAGACTTCAACAGGCACATTAAACGACACACAAATATCACAAGCACACAAACACAGAATCTCACAGATGAATCAATGCATGAAAAATCACAGTTTCTTCCTCTGATGCAGGCACAAGCACATGTTTATCGCTGCGGTAGAGATTCCCCCAGCCGTACTCACCATACAATTCCACAAAGCTGACATGTCTGATTTCCATTAGTTTTCTCAAACCATCTTTATAACATATCCTCCCATATACATTAGAATGTGTCAAGCTAGTGAGGCCTTCCAAGCTCTCCGATACCTGGACAATGTCTCATTCATTACATACTGCTGCTGAATATAACAAACCGGCCAATAGGGACAAAACAATCCAAGATTCCTCCACATTCACAGTGAGTCAATTCCAAGCTGTTCAATAGTGCTATCACTCCACCACATGCCTTCCTACTCCTCCCAGCTCAGCAAAACTCCTTTGTTTCAAAACTTCCCCATCTTCAAGAATGATGAAAAGTTTTAATCCACAAGAGAAGTCTGGAATATGTTCTCCAAAACTCATCCTTCCAGGAGTAGGCCTTGGAGGGCCAGGCCGGTTATTGTTAGAATCTAGTTAGGGGGTCTGACAATACGTTACATCTGCTGAAAGATGGCGGCACCGAGATGTAGTTAACCTTAATGGAAGTAAGTGAAAAAACACACACATGATTTGGTGCTGTGGATATGGAAATTAACAACCCTCGTCTGTAAGGATGTTGTGGAAACATCAACAAGACGTTTAAGCACAAGCTCATCAGCTGACTACTTCAGGTCCCAGGGGTCCTTGTTGGTGTCTAAGTATTTGAAAGTACATCTTTATACATTTCCTTGAAAACTGAGCTGTTAAATCTATATTCTTGTTTTATTTATGTCTGGAATGTTTGTTTATTCTCTCTGTTTATAAGGATTGTATTTGACAAAACATATCAAAGATGTACACATATCACCAAACTGAGTTGATTACATCATTCAACAGCTAATCACAACTCACTATAAGAGGTGACAATCAGGAGGTATGTGCATTACTTTCACTGCTGAACATGTCCTGGTGGTTCACAGTCCTTGACTCAATTACCCTCCCCCGGAACTCATTAAAACATCAGCGCCATCTGTCATCAACCCCTTGTAAGTACACAAGTACTTTATCAGGGGTGGAAATAACTATAAAATTGCTAGCGTTCTCTGGTACAGTGGCACATGTAAAATCACTAGCCCTGATAATTTTTCCACTATACCAGCCTATTTTCTTGTTCATTTTTTTAATAAACAACATAATTAACATTGGAAAGTCAACTGGAAACCGGTACAGTGTGATATACAAATTTGCTTGCCCAACAGAAAAAATCACTGGACTGGACGTCGGGCAATGGGTTATTTCCACCCCTGTTTATGTTTACATACAATGTAATTAACTTGGACCTGTACATGCAACAGAGGAAGAAGCTGTGACAATGGGTGATGGAAACAATAAATACATTATACATTGAAGAAAGCATGAGCAGCCCCCCCCTTAGTCCTCACCATGCTACATCACTGTGTCATGTGACATGCAGGACAGTATGCACCAGCAAAATATTTGTAGTAATTCACAAAGCATGATGCACCACAGATATATGACTAACTGCTGATGTAGCTCAAACTATAGGAACAATAATTTATTCAACATGCTAGCTACCACACAATGAATTCTAGCTATTAGAGGGGACTATACGGACAATGCACTCAAGACAATAACTACTGCACTGCCTCACATTCTGTTGTAAATATACATGCTGATGAATATGATGGAAATGATGGCATGTTTCTGTGCTTGTGTGATGAATGAACACATGTATTTGTGTCACCTACAGGGACCTGGTATCAATGTATCAGAAAACCTTCCTATAATACCTTTCTGGAAGGTACCTACAGGTACCGGTGTCACCTACAGGTACCTGGTATCAATGTATCAGAAAACCTTCCTATAATACCTTTCCGGAAGGTACCTACAGGTACCTGGTATCAATGTATCAGAAAACCTTCCTATAATACCTTTCTGATAACTCACCATATTCACTGCAGATTCTAAAAAAAAATTCAGAATACTGCAGTCCCATATTTCACTCTGTATTTCACAGTTACAAAGGCCTGTAAACCTTTGTGTGAATTCTCCCGCTGATAGATTTACAATGATGGAGTTTGTGTAAAAACATCACAAACCCCTTGCCTCCTTGCTTTCAATATCAGCCAGCTAACGTCGATAAAATCTCTCACAGACTTGCACACCATTTTTTCTCCTCCCTACAACTCACACACTGATGACATTTCAGGATTAGCAGCATCAATTGGTTTCATCTTGTCTGGAGTTTTCTCCCCTGATATTGTAATCACTGCCACAGTTCTGGGCTAAGTACTTCAGATTCCAACTTTTTGTGCTTACATTGGTACTTGGGAACTAACTGTGTATGAGAGGGACCATTTTTATCTCATTGTAAACTCAGATTTTTGTCAACAGAGAGAGCATTGAGGCCATATAAAAAAACAAATTTGCCCTATGAGAAAACTTCAGTCAAAAGAATAGAATTTATAGTGAAACATTGAAGAATGAGATTCTGAAACAATCAAATCAAGATTCCCCTGGCCAACTAAAGGCAGTACCACACACTCATTGCTGTGTGAGCCAACTCTTGTGAAGAAATTCTCAATTGTTTATATAATATGTCAGAGAGATTCTAAGAAATTCTAGTTGTGCTAAAGATACAAAAAAAGAAATTTTCATCTCTCCTGAAGGTAAAAAAGACTATCAGAGTGTTGATAGAAGGATGAAAAAGTTGAACTGCCTGAAACAAGACTCCCAAATCCTCCCAAAATACCAAGGCTTGTTTCCACACCTGAACTCATGTTCACGATTTCCTCCTGACAGTGAGCTGAGGAACTAATTTTAGATGAAAACTACTGGCATGGTACTTGAAGCAGGATGAAACTAGGTTATATCTGCCACGTTTCAGTGTAATATGATTTTAAAAATGTAGAGTATTTCGCTTTTTCGTAATTTTGTGGAATTTTTTTATACTTCCCACTAAAGCCTGGAAAGTTTAACATGGTGTTGTCTTTGTTTGAAACGTGAACAGTTTTTATTTCTTTAAACATCTGTCATCAACATGCACACGACCAGTCATCAAACATCGGGAAACAAGAAAGACAAGTTCTAGGATCTTAGGATCTACTGTTTCCTTTTCCAATTGTATTTCCTGTTTTATGGATTTTTTCCTCAGAAAACCTAACTGCAAGAGGGGAAGAAAAAAATACATCACCAGTCAAAGCAATATTCCTTTTAAATACTAAAAGTATCTTACTTTTGACAATTTATAAAGTGAATATGGGGCAATTTTTTTTCTAAAAGACGTTATCTTTTAAGTTTACATTTTTGGTCAATAAAAACATTAGGATTTATTTTTTTAGCAGGGGAAATCTTTTTTATTTTTTTTCTCATTCTTGAAAAATACGACAGGTGGATCCAAAATACAAGAAATAAAATTGGTCTGGCCTTAATATGAAAATATCTGTTGAGAGACGTATGTCAATAAATGATTATAAATAGGACTTGATTAGAGAGGGGAACAGTTTCAGGGAGTGAGCGGCCTCTCCCTGTGTGAGACGGAAACCAAAGATGCCCCTGGCAGTAGCATGCCACACATCACTGCTGCTATTTGTTGTAGATTATGATTTGAACATTCCATACCACATGTGACAAAGAGTTACTCCACATACCGTTCACAGAGCACACCTTCAATGTGATGTCATGGGGCAACGGTCAATCCTACCTTATCAAGGGCACAGTTTGATTCAAAATTGAACTGCAGTTTTTTTGTGCATACATTTTCAATCTAAAATATGGATCTTTCAAAACAGGATGTTTTTTATACACAACACTAGTCTTGACCTTGTAGATATATCTGTTGTTTATACCAATTAGTAGAAGAATATGTATAAAGAATACTACATTAAAATAGAACCCATGGTTAAAGCTATGTCCCTCTAGTGCTGTTAGGTGTTAGATCGCACGATCAGCAGGGAGCTCAAGGGATTGGTTAATACTGCAAGACAACAGGACAAACTTCACTTAACCTGTCAGTTCCAGTTGTATTCAAATTGCGCCAATCCAACTGTCAATCAATCTGTACAGGTATGGAGCCTCACAGTGAGACTGGATTATCTTGTTTACTGAACTGTATACAAAGGGAGACAACTGGTGCCGTGTGTAAAAACAGTCACCTACCTGATTCAGCTGGTGAGCTACGCTCTCTCTCTCTACTTCTAATTCTCTTGTCAGACGTTCAAACTGTGCCTCCTAGAATAAAAAGGTTGACATATACAACACAGATATATAAACGTAAACAGCACAAAGTAAACACTGTAACATTTGTTATAATTGTTTCTCAACAATTATATAAGAAGCCCTCCGGAGTCTCAAGTCACAAATCTGAAAACGCCACAAAAGCAAGAGTTATGTGTCCTTGGTGGGACAACCTCCCAGACAAGAGACTGAAAACAAGAAAGTTGACTTTTCCCAGCCTCGGTGCACTGACTACAACCTCAACGTATCCATACTTAATGTCATCTGTTCCAGATACAGGACAAAACAAATACATTCACATCCATCAGCAGCTGATTTAGACTAAACCTTTTCATTATCAGCTTGCAGGGAACATTTGTTTCGAAACTGTTATGCAAGGAAGGTATTTAACCACACAGAAATTGTCCAAGCACGATCTGAAAGAGACACTGGAGAAAACAGGGCAGAATATTTTTGCAAACACACGAGAATGGGATCTCTCAAACAGAACCTATGTTAAGTAGGCAGTGCAGTCAGATTAGTTTTTCATGGAAAACACATACGATGCTACTATCAATCATTTTAGAAATAAGTATCACTTAATGTCAGTTTGCCAAGAATATGCCGCTAGTTTGGTGAATTCTGATAAAGCAAGGATAATAATTTTGGAAAGTACAATACACTAGAAATTGTTTAGAGATGAATATTATCAAATTTATCTTTGCAGATTCTGACACCACATGCAGGCAGCTCTTCAGTCTCTATGACATTGACTGATTGTCGTCCAAACTGTCCGGCATATTTTTTAATTTTGATAGGAACATAGAAGAATGCCTTGTCAAAACTTTATCAGATGTCACAGTGCAGTTTGTAGCTAACAAAATCAATGAAATGTAAGTGCTGGGGACTGATACGTCCTTGACTCCCAAACAAATACCAGGGCAATAAAACTGATGAGATTCTACTACCTTTCGAGCGAGAATACAGGGTGTTTCTTCAGTCACTGTTTCGATCACACAAAAACATTCATTTCTATCAAAAGAAGAGTTGAACAACTAATTATTTTCAAGCCACGCTTTATGTGCAGGACTTCCAACTATGACAAGCAAACAATTCAAATAGAACTGGTTGGTGTGTCATTACACCTGGAACGTCCCCATACAACTGGAGCTGTCAAATACTCCCCAGCCTGCCTTCACCTGGAGCTGTAACTCAACAACTGGAGTTGTAACACACTGACCCCAACAACTGGAGCTGTAACACACTGACCCCAACAACTGGAGCTGTAACACACTGACCCCAACAACTGGAGCTGTAACACACTGACCCCAACAACTGGAGCTGTAACACACTGACCCCAACAACTGGAGCTGTAACACACTGACCCCCAACAACTGGAGCTGTAACACACTGACCCCAACAACTGGAGCTGTAACACACTGACCCCAACAACTGGAGCTGTAACACACTGACCCCAACAACTGGAGCTGTAGCACACTGACCCCAACAACTGGAGCTGTAACACACTGACCCCAACAACTGGAGCTGTAACACACTGACCCCAACAACTGGAGCTGTAACACACTGACCCCCAACAACTGGAGCTGTAACACACTGACCCCAACAACTGGAGCTGTAACACACTGACCCCAACAACTGGAGCTGTAACACACTGACCCCCAACAACTGGAGCTGTAACACACTGACCCCCAACAACTGGAGCTGTAACACACTGACCCCAACAACTGGAGCTGTAACACACTGACCCCAACAACTGGAGCTGTAACACACTGACCCCAACAACTGGAGCTGTAACACACTGACCCAACAACTGGAGCTGTAACACACTGACCCCAACAACTGGAGCTGTAACACACTGACCCCAACAACTGGAGCTGTAACACACTGACCCCAACAACTGAGCTGTAACACACTGACCCCAACAACTGGAGCTGTAACACACTGACCCCAACAACTGGAGCTGTAACACACTGACCCCCAACAACTGGAGCTGTAACACACTGACCCCCAACAACTGGAGCTGTAACACACTGACCCCAACAACTGGAGCTGTAACACACTGACCCCAACAACTGGAGCTGTAACACACTGACCCCCAACAACTGGAGTTGTAACACACTGACCCCAACAACTGGAGCTGTAACACACTGACCCCAACAACTGGAGTTGTAACACACTGTCCCCCAACAACTGGAGTTGTAACACACTGTCCCCCCAACAACTGTACCCCAACAACTGGAGTTGTAACACACTGACCCCAACAACTGGAGCTGTAACACACTGTCCCCAACAACTGAGCTGTAACACACTGACCCCAACAACTGGAGCTGTAACACACTGACCCCCAACAACTGGAGTTGTAACACACTGTCCCCAACAACTGGAGTTGTAACACACTGTCCCCCAACAACTGTAGCTGTAACACACTGACCCCCAACAACTGTAGCTGTAACACACTGACCCCAACAACTGGAGTTGTAACACACTGACCCCAACAACTGGAGATGTAACACACTGACCCCCAACAACTGGAGTTGTAACACACTGTCCCCAACAACTGGAGTTGTAACACACTGACCCCCAACAACTGTAGCTGTAACACACTGACCCCCAACAACTGTAGCTGTAACACACTGACCCCCAACAACTGGAGCTGTAACACACTGACCCCAACAACTGGAGCTGTAACACACTGACCCCAACAACTGTAGCTGTAACACACTGACCCCCAACAACTGGAGCTGTAACACACTGACCCCAACAACTGGAGCTGTAACACACTGACCCCCAACAACTGGAGTTGTAACACACTGACCCCAACAACTGGAGCTGTAACACACTGACCCCAACAACTGGAGCTGTAACACACTGACCCCAACAACTGGAGCTGTAACACACTGACCCCAACAACTGGAGCTGTAACACACTGACCCCCAACAACTGGAGCTGTAACACACTGACCCCCAACAACTGGAGCTGTAACACACTGACCCCCAACAACTGTAGCTGTAACACACTGACCCCCAACAACTGTAGCTGTAACACACTGACCCCCAACAACTGTAGCTGTAACACACTGACCCCCAACAATTGGAAGATGTAGCAACTGACCCCAACAACTGTAGCTGTAACACACTGATCCCCAACAACTGTAGCTGTAACACACTGACCCCAACAACTGGAGTTGTAACACTGACCCCAACAACTGAGCTGTAACACACTGACCCCAACAATTGAGCTGTAACACACTGACCCCCAACAACTGAGCTGTAACACACTGACCCCCAACAACTGGAGCTGTAACACACTGACCCCCAACAACTGTAGCTGTAACACACTGACCCCAACAACTGGAGTTGTAGCACACTGACCCCAACAACTGGAGCTGTAGCACACTGACCCCAAAACTGGAGCTGTAACACACTGACCCCAAAACTGGAGCTGTAACACACTGACCCCAACAACTGGAGCTGTAAAACACTGACCCCTTTCACCTGTAGCTGTAACACACTGACCCTACCAACTGTAGCTGTAACACTGACCCCCAACAACTGGAGCTGTAACACACTGACCCCAACAACTGGAGCTGTAGCACACTGACCCCAACAATTGGAGCTGTAACACATTGTATTTATTCAAGGCAGGTATGTATTGAAGGGGTCTATTTATTCAAGGCAGGTATATATTGAAGGTGTGTATGAATTCAAGGCAGGTATATATTGAAGGTGTGTATTAATTCAAGGCAGGTATATTGAAGGAGTGTATTAATTCAAGGCAGGAATATATTGAAGGTACGTGTTGAGGCAGTACACGACTTTGTAACAGATCACAGATCAATATATCCATACTCTGAACTTGGGCCTGGAATATAGCACCTCTGTATGTCAACTGCCCCAAAATGAATCATTTATGCTCTATCTTGTTCCCTAATTGCAGTCATTGATTCGATGACTGATTAACCAAACATCATTGTTCCAGTACAGTAATATTGACTCCAGCTTATATGCTGATCGAAATACCATTCAGGCATACAAGTTGATAACGCAACAGTGGAGAAATGTCTGCACGCTAGCATGGTGACACTTGGATCCAAGCATTAAGGGAAAGATCAATACATCTACATGTATACAGAAGTGGGACTGGACATAAATTTATGTCTCATATTTCTCTGGTCAATATATATGCCCATTCATCTGCAAGGGCATTAGCTGAGTAGGACAGTACAGACTTACAGTATGTTCTGAATCTGACGTCAAACGGCAGATATGATGGGCAAGGGAGTCTTAGAGCAGGTTGGGTTTCAACATTTTAGGAACATGTAGAGATACTAATGCAGTGGTGATCCAGACAATGATAATGAGACAGGGAGGTGGGGGTCAAGATGCTGAGGGCAGTATTTCACTTATCTCTGCAAGTGAGTCAGTGAGTGAGTGAGTGAGTGAGTGAGTGAGTGAGTGAGTGAGTGAGTGAGTGAGTGAGTGAGTGAGTCAGTCAGTCAGTGAGTCAGTGAGTCAGTGAGTCAGTCAGTCAGTCAGTCAGTCAGTCAGTCAGTCAGTCAGTCAGTTTTAGTCAGTCAGTCAGTCAGTCAGTCAGTGTTAGGAATAATGTTGCTTTGTTCAGTATGTCATGTCACATGTCAGTGAGTGAGCTAGTGAGGAATAATGTTGTGTTTAAGTTACGACACACCATGTCTGTATAAGAGTATGAGTGAGTGAGTGAGTATGGTTTGATGCCACTTTTAGGGGAATGTGGGGAATCAACCCTGGGACTTTGGCATGACGTGCTAACACTTGAACCACCAGGCTACCCTAGCGCCCGTCTGTATAGGAACAGAGGGGAGCCACACATAACACACTTCTTGGCCCAGTTCTTTAACATTGACTATTTCAGTGTAACCCACAAACATAAGTATGGTGCTTAATCCGAATTATTGAACAGACATGTGTGAAGATTAAACTAACCAATCGTTAAATGATTCTACCACTCAGGTTTAT